CCCTTGGACTTACGGTACAAGGACTGTCCTTCATGCATATGATACGCAAGACCCTGTTGAGGCGTAATGTAATGAAATTTTGGATCAGCAACTCTCCATCACCTTTAAACTAAAATTTTCCAGCTGGAGCAATGGAAATCCGTAGATAAGTCATTTTCAAGCAGCCTTATCATCGTTACAGGAAACGAAAGGAGAGTTTATTTCTTGAAATATTGCTGCATTACTTATGATGAACAGGAAAAAACCCTTAAAACTCCATAATATTGCCAAATGTTTTGTAAAACATGCAATTTTTTATTTCTGTTAAGCAGACTCAAACTTGACTTCCGGTTATGGTATGGAAATCGTTCAACTCTGAAATTATCGATATTATCGAATTGAAGATATTCATAATTTTAAGATACAAAATGCTTTGCTTTACATAATTATTTCCCCCTAAAGTAAGGTGTTGCGTTTCTTTTGCGTGTCAGTATATATTTCTTTTCATAATAATAAATACATTTTTTTTTGTGATAATAAATCATTTTTATTGTGCAATGTTCCTGTCGCTTAATTCTATTTCAACCACATTACAAGCAAACACAAAGATTATACACCTGATAGTTTTGTTCTCCTTTATTTATTGATGGGCTAAATTTGAAATTTCAAAGGATTAATTACTCCTACTTAGATAATGTAACATGAAATTGAACAATTTGAGTAACTTTTATAAATATGTTTACGGAATGAAAGACATTTTCAATCTTAGAGATATGAACGTTACCTATATTCTTCCATTAAGAATATATATTAAGTAGAAAATATGAGACGAGTCTGAATTAGCAACCCCTTGTACCCTGTAAACTGGCAAAGACGTTTTGCTTAACACAATTAAAAATTATTTTTTACATGAAAAGTGATCATTTGAAATGTACGTGACTGAAATGTACGTTACAATGAAATTCGAATTAAGTGAATCTCGCACGAATTTTCATGTATTCTCATACTTTCACACACTCGAATGTATACACAAAGGAAAGTTTCAAAGGTTGGAGGTCGCCTAAATCCCAAAATTAATGAACAGAAACGTTTCTGCTGAGGAAAAAAATATATTAAGGTCAATTGTATGTAATATTATTTTGATACCTGGTATATTTCTGAATACGAAACCTGTATGATGCATTTCTTATGATATGCAAGTTCAAATAGTATCAATATATTGCGTGTCTAACGTACGCTTGTGGAAGAGAATTAATTTTTATATTTGAAATGTACGTTACGTACGACGGCGTATTCGTGCCATTTTAACAATGTAGAAATTTTTTATTAAATCGTTTGTACGATTTACTAAATCGTTTGTACGATTTACTAAATCTTTTTGTACGATTTAACAAATCGTTTGTACGATTTACTAAATCGTTTGTACGATTTAATAAATCGTTTGTACGATTTAATTTAGTAAATCGTACAAACGATTTATTAAATTGTACAAACGATTTACTAAATTGTACAAACGATTTACTAAATTGTACAAACGATTTATTAAATCGTACAAACGATTTATTAAATCGTACAAACGATTTACTAAATCGTACAAACGATTTATTAAATCGTACAAACGATTTACTAAATCGTACAAACGATTTATTAAATTGTACAAACGATTTATTAAATCGTACAAACGATTTAAAAAAAATATTTCTACATTGTTTAAATGGCATTGTTTAAATGTGTGGTAACATACATTTTGCGTATTTCTAACTGATATTTTTTTTTATTTAGTCAATGAATTGCGTTTACACGAGCGAAACAAAATTATCGTTACAATCCATTTGACAATGACCACATAAATCCATCTTAATGTACCCCTCGTAAATGTGGTAGACTGTTACCACATGCTAGAAAATTTATTTCTAAGTGTCTTAATTTCATCTTTGGCAACCTTTTTGCAATTTGTTCACTTTTAATATGCGATTTTTCGTCAATATTAATTTAATTGTTGTTGATAATTTAAAACAGGTATGCATAGGCTTATAATTGGTAAAAAAAACAACAACAAAAAAAAAGAAAAAAGAAACAAAACAAATAAACCCAGAACCCAAGACGGTCACGTACATTTCAAATACTGAAAGGCACACAATACTCAATTTTGTTTGAATCATTGCATGTTGGGTTATATTTTTCCAGATCTGCTGAAAAGCACGTATGTTTGTGTTTTGACAAACGATGTTGCAACATACTAAATGAAATTGTTAACAAGACTGTCGATGGATATATTCGGAATAGATTTATGTTAAGTTTCAATGGCCAAACATGAGCATTTGTTAGATCATAGGAAAATACGTCTGACTCTTATTTTTTTTTGTCTGTACCCTTGCACACAGGTAGAAGTAACTAGACTACGGCCGTTGTCAATTTCAGCGAAACAGCACAAAAGAATGGTAATGAACTAAGGTGGGGGGGGGGGACTCCCCAGTAATATGTGAAATGAAGGTTACCGAAGTGACGTGACATTCATGTATTTGATGACAAATAACCTCATTTGTTGCATTATGATTTCTTATATTACTGCGTTAAAACGCTTCATTGAAATGATTTTTATGTCAATAATTGCTTTTTTTTCAATATTTTCTTATTGCTAATTTACATATCATTACAAGCTTGAAATGTACCTTACCTACTCATATTCTGAGGCAATCGTGTCTTTATAGTGGTGATTGTGACATATTATATAACACAATGTGATTACATAGAGAATCATTTCTGGAATAAACTGAAACAAAGCGATTAATTTTTAGATGAATTTTAAGCCTTTTATTAAACATAAATATATCTTGAAATGTACGTTATATTTACGTAGTTTTCTAAATCGGCATGGATATATGTTAAAAAAGACAGTGACTACAAAATTGAGTTTTACTACATGTACATGTTAAGTTCCAGTATCTATAGAAAATGACAAGGTTCCAAACTGATCGCTCTGAACAAAACAGAGAGAAGAATTTAAAGCATATATCTAAAAAATGTTTTTATACATCTGGATCAAAAAGTAACCTTTGTTTTTTGAAAGAAAATATCAAACGCACGTTCGTATGCCGAGAAAATATGTTGCTGACAGAGTTGGTAGGATGTGCTGGTGTTAAGATGAGATATTCCAATTGTGATTTTAATGACTACATTTTTTTTATATATCTTTTTGGACATTGAAGAAAGAGTAACGTACATTTCAAGCTATATTTTTGAATAAAATCACCCTCTAATTTACCGTCTTGTCATTATTCCATGTATTAAAATTTGATGAAAAAAAAAATCTGGAAACAAAATCTTCAGATACTTTCTTTCAAAGGTAATTGATAGAAAAATTTGTTATCTTGAACTTCATTTTTTAAAAATTCGGAGAGTCATTTGTGCCCTTATATTGAGAATGGGTGTTTAAAAGATAACCTTATGCAAATAAACGGAATGGAAAATGTTAAACATCGTCAAGTCAGGAGAGCAGTTTTTGAACAAAGCATGTTTTGCAATGTAGTTCAAAAGATCCATTTTTGCTGCACGCTATAAATATAGGATCTCCCATGTTTGTCAAGGCTCGGGGATAGAAAACACACAACTCGTTGGATAAAAATCATATCAAACCACAAACCATGGGAGATTCTTTTTATCACATATTTTTGTTCACTATAGATGTGTATTTTGTCTTTATTTCTAATTCAAAGTTCCCTTTCGGTTACCTCGGACCAAATAACGTAATAAATATTATTACGCTGTATGAAATAGTTCGTTCTTCAAAAACAAAAGAAAGAAAGTATTTCTGCACTTATTTTTTCATTCCTGAATGAAAATTGGATAAGATATATCAAATAAAGTAAAATTTGACAAATTTAGTCATTCTCTCCATTATGCACATGTATTTGTTTATTTACATTACGTCACGCGGCGTATGAATACATAGTGTTGATACGAAAACGATATCACATGAGCTATATCAACGGGATAAAGGGGAAAATATGTGATAAATTTGTTTAACGTATCGATTTCTCGTCTGGGGCTAAGTGAATAGCTATTATTATATTCTCGTACATTTTTAACGAGGCCGAGTCTAATTCGAGTGCGCATGACTTTTGCGCAGCTTTTTGATTTCTCGATGTCATAAGTGCGACAGTACACCTTTTCAAAATATTATGATTTTAATATAAAATCAACATTATCTTAAACGCTTACTGGTCTGAAAATGTGATTTTACGACATTATTTGGGAAAAAACGCTGAAATGGCTCTAACGACGTCACTGTTTTTCGATTTTGTAAGCAATGTATGACGCTGAAGAATGGCATAATATGACTCCCTTATATATTTGTAAACGTCCAAGGATATTTAACTAATAATTCACGACAGAACATCAGAAGAAACATAGCAGCAATTTATATTTTGTACCAAAAAAGATTATATGCGCCAATAATTCATTTGCACCAATATGTACTTATACCAGAGTATGGCAATTTTAGAGGTATTGGACATCGAAAAAATAAATTTTGTAATTAAGACCGTGATCAATCTAGATGGTCAACTTTTATTAAATTTCACAATTTGGTGACTCTTTAAAATAACTTTCATCTCCTTAACTGAGAAAGAAATCTCTAGGGCAGAAATACTAAAAATATGTGAAAAATGTGATCATTTGGCGCTTTTCTGACAAATTCCCATTGGGTCCAATAGTAAAATATGACATCTTTTGAGATGACCTCTAAAGAAATCGGATTGGTAAGCATTCGATTTTTTAATCTGAAAACAATAAATATAACAGTAAAAATTAATTAACGAAAAATTATCAAAATCCCTAAGGCAGAAATAATTAGACTCGGCCTCGTTAAATGTATAAAATGAATTGAATAAGAGCATGGATTCCTGTAATAAATGCTTAAATAATTACAAAAATGAATAAAGGCCTTTTTTCTTGCACGAACATTTCTATTATAGATCTTCTTTAAACTGCATTAGATTAAATATTTCTGTATCTTGTAGATAATTTATCAGAAGGTAAGAATTCTACACAAAGTACAACTTGGTTATGTTCTCCAAAAAATTGCTACTTGTATGCAGCAAACAACGCAGTTGATGGAGACATCAGTACATGTATGAGACCTCAATCCATTGGTTCCTCTTACCCGATCAAGATAGTGTGGTGGAGAGTAGACCTCGGAGACACCAAGAGTATATACAGTATTAGGATCCAGTTTAAATACTACGGACAGCAATACTGTAGGTAGCGATTGTATCAAAGAAATACTAAATAATATCTGTTTCGAGTTCTAATCAATGTTATTTAAAAAGAATTCTTAAGAAGATAAAAGTCCTTATTATTCATAACTGTCAATTAATTTTTCTCATTTTTCAGATTACGATAAAAAAAAATTAATATATTGAAACACGTGTTGCTTGTGTATGATGGAAGCCCTAGAGAGTCTAGATTTAAATATTGTCTCTAGAAATTGATTTTCGCAAATACTCACTCAAAAATACATTAAGAACATGTATATTTAAAATATAGTCTGGATACACCCTTTAGTAAACAATTTTCCCCTAAGGGTTAATTTTAAAATATTCATTTTAATTCGAAATAATAATCTAGTTGATTACTTAGTATCTACTTCATTTACGTAGACTCAATATGTTACAGTAAACCTGAAATAAAAGATACTACATACATTTTTGCAAATATAATTCTCATGTTTTACTGACTGTACGAGGGTTGTCCCGTAAAATCGTGGACAAGTTGTCTAGTTTGAAAAATAATCATCACTGCGTTCTGAAATTTTTACCACTTTTTAGTAGATGAATTATGAATATACATAGCAAATTTCAAATAGATATATGCATAGGTAAACAAATTGTGATATTTTATGTTATATACTGTATCGCCCTACGGCGCACGGATGATAACGTCAAAGTGTCTAAAACAGCGTCACGTTTCATCTTTGCTTAACTTAAAGTTGGATACGCCTAACTTAAATTTAGAAATTTTAGTATCTATATCCAGTTAAGAAACTAATGTTGCACACTCATGCGATCTTCTGAATATTTATTAGCAAGTTACAGACAGTATTCTCACCATAATTCAACTAAAAGAGAATTTCACATCGACGGTCGACAGTGACAGCGTCCTTTGCTATTACAAATGGCAGTCTGTCCATATGTTTTGTACTATCTGGGGACTCGACCACGAAGACTTCACTAAGAAAACTTTCATTTCATTTATATACTAAAGATCTGGTGATATTTTTCATATTTTCTTTCTTCTGTATTCATTTAAAGTCTCTTAAGGCGTCATTACAACATCCTAATCTATCTGAACTGCTCTCTGTTGCGCCGTAACGTCATGAAAAGTCGCCAATTTTCGTGTGTTGTGTTAACTACTTTCCCATTTCGAATGTTCAGAAAACTGCCAAAAATTAACCAAATGCCTTGAAATTTTTAAAAAGACGACAGAATTGATTAAGGAATGGAATTAGGATAAATTTCATCCTAATCTTATGTATTGAAAACTTTTATTATGAACTAATTCTTATCTCTTCTCTAACATAACCTTGCTATTTTTTCGTGCGCCGTAAGACCGTACCTTGTGCACATTCAAGCAGAATAAAATCTTTATTTTTAAATATATATTATCAAAAACAATATGATTCACTTAAATATGATGAATAAACATTTACTGAAAATTTCAGCTAAGTACGCCCAATAATTTTCGAGAAAAACGCTTTGTCCACGATTTTATGGGACAACCCTCGTACATCGTAAACGTGCAATATTTTTTGTAGCAATAAACAATAAATGCCAAAAGTCACCTCAATGGCAATGTGAAAAGAGAATATAGCATGCTCTAGATTCGCGGAGTAATGCTACGTTTACACTATGTTCCCGGCAGCCATGGCAGCCCCGTTTGCCCGAAACGTAGTGCGCCGTGAGATTTTGGTTATTTTCCCCTCTATATCCAAGTCTTGACAAGTTCTTTTGCGGTCTTCTACGGAATCCGTGATGGGCCGTAGGAAGAAGTTGCCGTGGAGTGCCGGAGGCTCCACGGCGCACTACAGTTCTGCCACGTATGCCAGCACGTTCCCCCAGGCCTCTTACGTTCTGATAGGTCCCCTCTCGTTTCTCGCGTTCTTATGAATTTCTTATACGTTTCTCACATTCTGTCAAGTCTTTCTACGTATGAAAATGGACGCCGGGAAACTATGGATCACGTTTGTACCAGAGAAGGTCTCCTAACCAGAAACATTCTTTGTATCATGACCATTCGAAGATAAAACATCATGAATTCCCAAGACGAAGATTTTATTTTCGCGTGTTTGCTGGGTGCATACCTAAAATCACTTCGTCAAAATGAAGAGAACCAGCAGCAGTTACAGAGAGGGAAGAAAGGAGTGCAGCAACTAGGAATGAGACGAATAAGACGGATGAGAAGGCGGAGATCCATATGCAGTGCCCGGCTTTTATATGCTTCCTCTCAGAGCGCGTGCGCCGTGTCAGACCGTTGTAGAACGCAACGCACCGGGACCATAAACCGTAACATGCCGGGACGAACCGCGATTGAACGCGAGGAAACGGCTACCATACACCCTAGTTTGCCGTGAGAACCGTGATGAAACGTAGCAGAAAGTGATAAAACGGACAACAACCGTGAACTAGCCGTGACAGAACGCGGACTAAACTCAGCAAAACGTCTCAAAACGTGAATGGACCGTGAGATGAATGGAAATATACATTCTCCCGTCCCACTGCGGACTGCCTCCAAGTTCTGTTACGGTCTATTACGTGCTGTCGCGTTTTGTTGCGTTTATTCCGTTTTACTACGACTTACTAAGTTTCACATCTGCAACGTGGCCGCCGTGGCAAATTTTTTGACAGTTTAAAAATCTGGCACGGCATCCACGGCAATCGCGATGAGTTACGTTTGCCCATCCCGTTGCCCCAAGTTTTCTCACGCCCGTCCCGTTTTTTCCACGGTGGCCTGAAACGTGATTGCCGTGGCTGCCGGGAACATAGTGTAAACGTAGCATAAGGAGTTGATTCTTATGTTTGGGGTCCGACATTGATATTTTTTATAATGAACTCTTCTTGCCTACCATTGCGTCATTTCAAAACAAATATCGTTTGTTGAAATATTCCAGATGTCGCGCTTGTTTCTCAACCGAATAACTTTTGGCAATGCCAATATAAAATGGTATCTATTTAATATTTGCAATATGCATTTCTAAGAGAATAAAACTTTTCGAAAACAAAAAAAATCACACTCACATTGACCAGAAGCTGTTACATGTATGTTTGTTTTCCGTTATATGTAGCTTACACGAAAGACAACACTTTGTAGAGAAGGCAGTGCGTTATAAGAATGCAATATGATATAAGGAATGTATTACTTTTTTGAAAGATATATTCTTATAACTGCAAATATATGTTCAAACGGATTTTAATCAAGTATTTGCAGTTATGAGACTATATCTTTCAAAACTGTCCTTAGAATTTTAATTCTTTCCAAACAATTATCTTTGTCAAATATTATTAGTTTCCCTACAAAAAAACAATTTCAAGGTCATAGTAAAAGGGCTAAAAGGATTTGAATTTCCTTGAGAGAAATTTTGTTTAGATTTATGAAAGTCACTTATCAAATTCAAATGATGTTTATCAAAAGAGATCTATATGTAATTATCAAAAATGATTTCTTTTTTTCAAAATATTATCGTTTAAAATTTACTGTAAGTGAAATGCAAAGGCACTAGGATTACCAGAATAGAATGCATGATTTTTTTTGCAATTATATCAAATTACAACCTGTAAATGCACATGTGAACATTTATACGCATTCCTTACATAATTTTAGATAATCGTCAAAGAGGAAGACTGGCGGGTTTTTCTCTATATGCATCGAACACGACAAACATACAGAACAGTTATCTGTGTTACAAAGACGGACCAGAGTTACCTCCGTTGGATTTTATCAATATATGTACCATTCATGGACGATATGTTACATTTTACAACGAACGAAATGAGACATCATATCCTGTCGGTTACGAGACTACCATCGTAACAGAGTTATGTGAAGTAATTGTAACTGGTAATAAATACATTTACAACTATTTTCTATACAAAAGTAAAATACACATTGATATAAAACTATGGGAATGCTTTTTTACAAACTATGTTTTTATATTTTACAAGGCTGTCAAAAAGATGGATTTTATGGTCAAAACTGTGATCTTGAATGTCCTCCTCACTGCCAGGAAGGACGATGTCATATAATAAACGGAACCTGTCTTGAGTGTACAGCTGGCTGGATCGGAGAGTTTTGCAACAAAAGTAAGATTCAATATCTCCTACACAGGAATAAGACCAAGAAATAGGTTTTTTAAAAAGTCATTTAATAATTAAGGAATATATGTAAAAGGTTGTCGAAAATTTTAATTAATATACGCAATTTGAAAAGCGTTTCAAACCACGTGTTTCTTGTGCTGATGCTTTACTATAAATATACCGATTCCTTTTTTTGGAAAGTCAAGAATAACTTCTTTGTCTTGTTATTCTTGATTTTAAATAAGAAAATAAATTAATCTAGTTTATAGTAGTAAGACAAACAGCTTTATGTGATATTGTTATTTTCAATTAGCTTGTATGTCTGGATTTTACGGTATGGAGTGTAAATCAAGGTGTACAGGTCATTGCCGTGGTGGTGCTTCCTGTAATCATATTAGTGGAGAATGCGAACATGGATGCGAGGAAGGATGGATGATGCCCAGTTGTGATCAACGTACGTCTCTCGTCTAATATATTTTACGACTTTTCAAATTTTGTTTTTCAACGAAGTAAAAGTAACTCTGGTTCAGGGTTCATCATTGAACAATATATTTTTTTATATTTTCTTCTTTTGTCTCCTAGAGCGGTAATGGTCATAAGTAATTGTCTAAAATTTAAAGTCATCAATTTGAAAATGGATAAATCAAGATAACTGTAATTGTTAATTGATTCACAGACTAATTCTTCTTTCTTTGTCATTTGTCTTATTTTAAGCATGTCAGGATGGAATGTTTGGATCTAATTGTATACATAAATGCAGCAGTCATTGTACTAACAGTTTACCATGTGACAAGGCAAGTGGGAAGTGTGAAAGTTGTGCACCTGGCTACATTGGAAAACGTTGCAATAATTGTAAGTATTAATCGATTTTTAAAGCAACTAAGTGAATAACAAATTTGCAAATATCGAAGTAATGTGTTATTAAAAAAATATATGACAAGTGCTACCTTCTGCCTGAGTGTAAGTATATTCTCTCTATCAATAAATAAATACAATGTATAGTTATACATGTTTCTTACAGCATGTTTAAAAGGCACGTATGGCCAAAATTGTTCAGAGAACTGTCATATCAATTGCCGAGGTCAAAACTGCTTCCATGAAAATGGATTTTGTTCTGAAGAATGTGAAGACGGATACCAGGGAAACACATGTACGGAAAGTATGTCAATAAACCGACTGCATTCAGAAAGATGTTTTAATACCTCTATATAAATATTTTGACACATCTTTAAAAAATATTTTAAAGGCAAAGCAAGAAACTAATAATCATGATAACGTTCAGAATGAAAGAAAGCCTTTCGCGGATCGGAGATTATAAAAATAAATTAATTTATTCTTATTTACTTGATACATTTGTTTAATGGAAGTCTGATTTAAGCTTTAAAGGAGTGAGAAATATTAAAACAGCATTACGAAAACAAAAATAATATTTGCATACAATTCTTTGTTCATATTTTTTATTCTAAAATATAATTGTACCATGTTTAAAGCTGCAAAAACTCCAATTGTTGTTAATTCCTTATCGGTTATTCTTCTTTATTTATTTCAATAGAGTGCAACGTAGGATGGTATGGAGACAACTGCTCCAGACATTGCAGCTTTAACTGCCAAAGGGAAGTGTGTCATAATGTACATGGAGAGTGTAGCTATGGGTGTAAAACAGGATGGATAGGTTCAAACTGCAGTCAAGGTTTGTATATATAAGAAGGTCTACAAATTGAAAAGTATTCATATTAACTAAGGAAAAAATTTAATTTATAAATGTATCCCAAATCCATCTCGTAAGAAGTTGGCAAATTTTAAAATACACTGCATCGGACTTTCAAACCTTTTGATAGATTGTTGTTTTTAGCCCCATTTCAAATTCTTTTAGTCATATGGAGACGATATTTTACGCTGGTGAAGAGCTTCAAATTGTACCCAATCCTTAGCGCTTAACTTTCCAATATTAGATCATCATCTCCTCGCAGGGGTAATAAGAAAGCATACAGAATTTTCTACATTGACTTAATCAGTAATACATTATGACGTCATAGTGGGCAAGATGACCTTTATTTTAGAAAAGGAGTTTTCCTGCTATTTGTATGTAGATATATGTAACTTAGCTCTAGAAAATGAATAGAAACATGTTAACATTCACAAAAATATTTCTTTTTTCATTTTTGTTATGTTGTATCTGCCATTTTGATTAAAATCTACCACTGATGACGTCATATGTGTACATCAAGTGCATGTAACTTGGGAATTAATCCTGTCGTGTAAACAGAATTTGGCTACAGCGGCATGTCAAAGATACGTACAATGGAGTTGAGAAGCAAATATCGTGAATATTATGTGAAATTCATTTGGAGTTAAGGTTTATTAAACGGGTATGCTATTTTTTTTTTCATCTATTATATTCTCTGTTGAAGACAATCAGCCGTATACGTATACGAGTTGGACATTTCACTGTCATTA